ATTAGAATTATAATATTACATTAATATTTAATTATATTAATTATTATATTATTATTAATATAATTATATCAATACAATATTATTATTTGTTACAACATTATTATCACATTATATTATATTATATTATATTATATTACGAGTCTGAATTTTAGATTGAGAAGATTTACCAAATACTAAAATCAACTTTTATTACACGCAGAAGCTGATTTTTAGAGTGAAAAGCAATACTAAACTAAGCCAATATATTAAAAAAACAGTAAGAGACTTTAAGAAAACTTCTTCAAATAAACCAAACAAAATAAAACATTTATAAAAGTTAGTTAATCATGAAACAAAATATATCGAACATAACTAAGAACTGCAATAATGCAAGGAATAATAAGAAGCAAACAATCTTTAACTGGTCGGCTAAATTTCAGTAATCCAGGGCAACCAATTAACCAAAGAAGCAACAAAGACGAACAACATTAACCATATTACATTACCAAACTAATGCCTAACAGTTTACCAAAGAAGAGGGCATAAATTTTCTTTTATTAATATCCATAAACATTTTGTAATTAGTTTCAAAACTTAAATGAAAGCAAGTAAATTGGTGTGCGCTAATTCTCACAAAATGTAATGATGCACCACTTATAAAGTTATCAAAAATCAAGAGATACGATTTTTAAATACAAAATCTTTTCCACAAACATACTTGCATTGTCGTCACTGATGTCATCACACCATCAGGCCCAGGACGGCTAAGGACGCTATCATCAGTGTAAAATTTGTGAACCATATCAGGAGATTTATGTAGAGTCAAATAGTATTGTTGTATAAAGGCATTGCCCACTATTTGAGCAGTTGGAATAGCAGGATCTTCACTCTGATTTGCCATTTCTACATCAACATAGTTCCAACAAAAAGTTATCTTATGAAAAACTATTTAGAGGAAAAAAAAAATCAATAAAGAAAAAAAAAGGTAATCAATAAGAAAAGAGACATAAGAAAGGATAATTTCGAAAAATAAGAGAAAACAAACCCTAATAGAAATAGAATGATAAACTAAATAAAGTCCTAATGAGATTCAAATTTGTGTGGAATTTATGAAGGAAGATTAGAAGGAAGAAATAAGGAGCGACAAACTGAAAAGGAAAAAAGTTAAATCCTGCAGACTAAATCAACTAAGGCAATAAATATTTCAAAGCTTCGGTAGAATCAAACGTGAACGCTGAATACACACACACACACACATATATATATGTATGTATGTATAAAGTATAAACTGTACTGAAATATTCTAATTCAAGTAAAACACTAGGGAAAAAAAAAACTTGCTTTAAATTAAACACCAACTGAATAGGACTAATATACTCATAAGACAAACAATGGAACTTCATAAAGTTTAACATTAGTTAAAAAAAAAGAAAAAAAAAAGAAAAAAAGGGGAATCTTGCTTTAAATTAAACACGAACTAAACAGGAGTAAAATATAATCATAAGACATAAACTCGTTCCAGATCAAGTTTAGACTAGCAACGAAAAGAATTTCTGATTCAAATCTTTCGTAGAACCAATGAGAACAATTTAAAGTGCGAGGAACAAAAGCTTTTAAGTATGAAAGCCTAAACCAGTAAACCTAAAACAACTAATCATTGTTTTGAAAAAAAAAACAAAAAAATTGATTTGTTCCCAGTCCTTGTCATTATATAGTTATCAAAACATATTTCTTTCCCAATTTTTCCCAAAAAAAAAAATCCCTGGTCATGCGTGTAGAATTAAGACTTGAATTTAATGAATATTGAATGCAAACCAATAAGAACAATTAACAAAAAAAACAAAAAATAGAACCGTTAATCATAAATTTCAACCATTGATACATATTTATGCAGTCAACAACAACAACAACAATAATAATTACAGCGAAAAAAAATTGAAAAAAATTTGGAATCGCGAAAAAGAAATCTCCAAGCGAAATTCACCGATTAGAATCAAACACAACACACGTCCAGATGAAAAACGAGATCAGCAGAACAATAACACGGAATAAATAAAAAGATATTACAAAAAATTGAAAGTGTTAAAAAATATAACTGGAAAAATAATAAGTAAAAAAAAAAAAAAAAAAAAACCTCGTTCGGAGAAATTGAGGACTCCGAGAGAATCGACAGAGAAGGCGGAGAGAACTGTGAGTGAGAGTTTGCAGTGGAGATGAAAAGAAGGGAGACTTATGAAAGCTTGAGATTTTATAGTCGGGGATTTGGGGTTAGTAACTTGGTAAATCGATCGGTCGGCGCGACTAAATGGGCCGGATCGGGTCGGTATATACATAGGCCCAAATATTTGTTAGCTAGTGGACCTGTTTATGTAGTCCTACGTGGATTTTGATGCCACAGCTGTGATTAGTTTACTGCCCCGATCGTACGGTCCCAAACGAAGTAGGTGAGAACATGTGTTAAACGCCTCTATTGTATTCTTTTTTTTTTCCTCATATACTTGCTTTTTTTTCTTTTTTTTTTAAGAATATTTTACTAATTTATTCCTGAACTTGTATAACACATAACTTTAGCAATCTCTTTCTTCAAGTTTTAATTTTAGCAAGTTTACCGTTAACTTATAAATAGTTGTAATATGTCTTTTTTTTTACGATAAATGTGTTAAATTAGTGTAAAAATAAATGTGTTCAGTGAAAAATTCTAACGTTTTAAATGTAACACAAACCTTTCAGGGTCTATTTGGTTCACTCATTTGAAATCATTATTCTAATTTTGATACAATATTTTTTTCTTACAAAATGTTTAAATAAAAAAGACTCTCGTTAATAGATTCTCTCACAAAATTTAAATTTAGAATCAAAAGTACTGACTTAAGTGTGTGAACCAAACAGGTCATTAATTTCTCAACTTTTAATTTCTTAAATCTAATTAAAATTTTGAGCAAATTTAGTAAGATGTGGGAGATTGTAACAATTTTACAAGTTTGAGATGTTAATAGTCAAAATTAAAAGTTTATGAAGTAATATGCGAAACCACAAATCCTAAAAGTGTTATGTGAAATTGTGGATGGTGTGACCAGATTGTTTATAAATAATTACCAATAGAAAATACCCTCTATCTATCACACAATTATCTTCTTTTTAAAATATTTTTCAAAATTTTATGATAGGGCGGGAGGAAAAAAAAATTATCCACGAACCTAGTTATGAATCGTGTGATTTTTTATACAGAAGTTAAATGGTCATATTTATCTTAATTTATTATACTTGTAATATTATTCTTCATCTATCATATTTTTCTTGAGCTGAGGGTTCAAAATCACATCTTATTCGCATAGTTTTTTTTTTTTTTTTTAAATTGTATTTTATTATAGTAATTATCAATGCTTGACAATTTGGATACCAAACTTTTGACTTTGGCGAATTATAATATAAATTAATCTATTATAGTGGTGGCCTAGTAGTAAACGAATTAATGTAAATTAATGGACGGAATGCCATATAGTTTTTTTTTCCCACAAAATCCACCTTAAACTTTTCGGCCTCGTTCGTTTCGCTGATTCGAGTTTAGAATTTGAGTTGAAATGTGATTTTATGTGAGCTTTTTACTGTAGCAAAAAAGTTAGATGTGACTGTTTGTGAGAGCTTTTTACTATAACAAAACTCGAATCAACGAAACAAACGAGGCCGTTCATTAGTTAACAAGTTGAACCGTAAACTTCGCGACCTTAATTTTTTTATTATTAATTGATGTCCACTATCGATTCAATGATTGTTAAATGTAGGTTTTAAATACTAAAATTAAAATTTTAGAGTGCAACTTGCTAACGAAAAAAGATCGAGGATGCACCGGTACAAATTTTCCTACAAGATCATTCTCCAAATTATTTTAAAAATCTTTATATATTTTTTAGGGCTAATCATGCAAATGGTTAATTATATCTATTTTTAATCCCACTTTAATTTTTTACTTATAAAAAGTTACATAATTGGTCTCTATCCTTAATTAGGTATTAAATATTTGACAAAATCTATGTAATTGTGAACCAAAAGTAGAAACACCTAAAATTTAGAGACTATTTGTGAAAACTAACTTCTCTTGTTGTTGTTATTTTTTTTTTATTTTTTTGTCCCTAAACTTTAAATGTTTCTTATTTTGATCCTTAATTTTGACATATTCTGTAAGAAAATTAACACCTAACTAGTACAAAAACCAAAATTGAAACAAAGTATATTAAGGACCAATTAGGAGACGTTCTAAAAGTCACATACCAAAATAATATTGAGGTAAATCTCAAAAATCATTTGTGAGATTAACTCATTTTTTTCGTGTACGCAAAAAGTGGACCTGTAGACATGGGCCAAGGTAGCGAGGGGCTTCGATTGTGTGTACAGATTCAACCTTGTATTGTAAAAAATAAAAAATAAAAATAAAAGGAAAGAAAAAATGAAAAAAAAAAAAAAAGGCTTGCCTATGGGCTAGAAGTGAATGTATCTGCAATTTGACGATACTTGTTTAGTTCGTAGGTTAAATAAAAAGTCAATTTTATTCAATTTATTTAAATATTTATGAGAAAAATTACTGTAACAAAAAAGGTTTAAACCAAAAATATTTGGATTAAAACTTATGGAACAATCAAAGACGACACATTCCAATGTAGACATTAATGGTAGGGATGGCAACGAGGCCAGGGTGGCAGGGTTTATGCTTCCCCCACCCACACACACTCTACTCACTAATTTAAGACATGATCAGTGTCGTGATACCACCACTGAGGGAGCTATCCTCCTGCTCTACCCATTTACACATTAATGGGTAGAGTATGTCAAAAAAAATTCTATTAAATTAATTAAAAAATTGAACAATATAACTACTAATATGTTGTGAAAATAAATTTTAATGCTGAATTTAAACTCTAACAATAACAAACTAAATTCAAACTCAAACATATGAAGCGTATAAGTCTAAAAAACTAAATTCAAACTCAAACATATGAAGCGTATAAGTTTAAAAAACTAAATTCAAACTCAAACATATGAAAGTGTATATGTAATCGGAGAAGGAATGGAGATAGGGGAGCTTCTCCCATCCTCAGCTCTATCCCCTATATTAGTCCTATGAAAAGTAAGTACGTAATTAAGAACGTCGTCCCTAATTGGTAGTAAAAATATATGCCATTATTTGCCCTTTTATCTACCAAAAAAAATATATGCGATTATTTGCCCTTTTATCGTTGCTTTTTTTTTTTTTTTTCCCCTTCGCCCCACTAAACTCTAGAATTTCCTACTATTGCTCGAAGTTGAACAAAAAATAGAGAATCAGGTTCTATGCCCCTTTTTATGCTCCCTTTTGTATCTCGTAATAATAATATGTTACGTTATAATTTTTTAATTAATATAATAAAAAAAATTTAATTAACGTGATATAATATTATTAAATGGATGTGAAAGAGGACAAGAATAAAAATACACAAGAGTTGGTTTTTTTTTTTTTTTCTCTCTCTCTCTTTGCTGGAACTATTAATTAGTTGTCTTTTGAGTTCTGAACTTGGCGAAAATGTACGTAATGTGTCGTTCCGAGGTCGTTGAGGTAAAATAAACGAAAATTCACATTGTCAAGTGTGAATAGAAATAACAATAATACCATTGTTATCTAAAAATTGAACTGCGACATTTTTGAATTTGAAAAGAGGTAATATATCTTCCTTTAACAACTGTCGAAAGAAACTTAAAAACGATATGGCCAGAGAAAGATTTGAAAGTATAATTGTAAGGCCCGTTTAGTTCGGTGATTCGAGTTTTTAATTCGAGTTGAGATGTGATTTTATGTGAGAGCTTTTTACTGTAGCAAAAAAGTTAGATGTGATTGTTTGTGAGAACTTTTTACTGTAGTAAAACTCAAATTCTAAACTCGAATCAGTGAAATGAACGAGGCCGTAATTTATCCAAACACGAGGGACGTCAATAATTGGACCCCATATATTTGTGTGGGAGGACATAACCATCTTAAAATGATCATTTTTAAATATCACGTTGCTCTAATTTATTATTTATTATAACATTAAATCTAACAATACATACAAGAGTCAAAACTCTTTTTTATGGAGCTATCACGGAGCTATCATGTGACAGCCCCTACACTTATCTTTTTTTTCATCTTTATTTTTTAAATTTTTTTTACATTTTAATTTTTTGTGTATTTTTTAAAAATATATTGTTTTCTACTTTACTCATATGAGTAATTTTTTCCCATGTGTCCCTATTTTATTTTTGATTGGTTAAAATAAGTTTTTTCAAATTTTTTTGTCAATTGTGGTCTGTACACACATTCCTTTTTAAAATAAATCTACAAATTCTTATATGGTTTTATAAATAAATTTCTCATTATTCGATAAATAATGAACTCTTCAAGTATTTTCAATACGATAATACGTGCGGAGTTCGTTACAAAACTAATACTTACAAATATTAAGACTCCGTTTATTTCACAGATTTGAGTTTAGAATTCGAGTTTTGTTACAGTAAAAAGCTCTTAGAAACAGTCACATCTAACTTTTTTACTACAGTAAAAAATTCTCATATAAAATTATATCTCAATTCAAATTAAAAACTTAAATCAGCGAACTAAACGGCCAGAGTTCCCCTCCCGCAACAAAAAAAAAAAAGGTTAGAGTTTGACTACCACCTGAATTGGACCGGTAGAGTGTTCATGGAACGTCCTCTGATCACGTTGAATAATCGCTGTAATCGTTAAACCAAGTACATAGATTGGAGAGAGAGAGAGAGAGAAGGGAGCGAATTTAACAAGTACCACGTTGGTCTTATGGTTTCCAAACTATTGAGAGAGAGAGAGAGAGAGAGAGAGAGAGAGAGAGAGAAGGGAGCGAATTTAACACAGAGAGAGAGAGAGAAGGGAGCGAATTTAACAAGTACCACTTTGGTCTTATGGTTTCCAAACTAATATTCTTCTCAAGATAATTACTAATCGTCCTAAATGTGTGATTAATACAATAGAATAAAGTCATAATCTTTATTGTTTTGATGGTTTGATAACTTATTTACTTGATAGTAATTAAACATTAGAAACAAAATTCATAATTCATTACAATTATCGGTTTTTCATTTGTTTCTATGAGATAATTTTACGGTACTTAAAGTCTTAAAGCAAATATAAGAGAAAAGATATAGATTGGAGAGAGAGAGA